TCTCCTCATTCCAAGTCTCACTGTATCTCTTTCTTGGACCGGATTGGAAATGTGGGAACAAGAGGTAGATATTGTCAACAGCCACAAAAAATCACCTGTTACTGAGTTTCTTTTTTGGAGAGGTTTTTTTTTTCTTTTTTGCTATAGAGCGCATGCACTCACCAGAAAGAAAGACAGAAAATGAAAATGAGAAATCATCCCCCCAGGGGGGATGGCCACGCTGCAATCCCTTCTCCATTCTCTTGGGATCTTAGGCATGCACGCACATGCGCCCAGCATGAGTTTAAGCCACCGAGTCCAGAACTTGAACCACGGTGGGCTATATGTAAGTCCACGCATAGCCATTGCACCAGCTGCTGGGTCCAAATAATTCTTGTTTTTTAAAAAAAGAATTACTTTATTTTAACTTTATTTATTATTTTTTCCAGTTTGACCAGAGAGAGACAGAGAGAGAGAAAGTGAGAAACGAAGTCACCAGGTTGGGGACTTCAACCATAGCCATGTGGGAGTCTATTGCCTTTAAGCAGCACGCCACCTGCCTGCATATATATATATATTTTTTTTTTTTTAAGATGTCGGATCACGGGCGGCAGGTGGTGTGATTAAGGGCGCTGGACTCCCACATGGCCGACTGTGCTTCAAGTCCCAAACTTGAAAACATAATTTTTTTTTAAATTAAGGATCTCTAAATTTTATTTATTTATGTATTTAAATTTGACCAGAGAAGGACAGAGCAAGTGAGAGGGAGTGAGAGCAAGAAAGCAAGCTGGTAGGTCTAGGACTTAAACCATGATTAGCCATGTGGGAGTCCAGTACCTTTAACCAACATGCCACCTACTGGCCCTGACAAATAATTCTTTAAAAAAAAAAAAAAGATGCTGGATCCCACATTGCCAACTCTGCAGTTCGAGTCCTGGCCCCAGTGGTTTGAAAAACATGCTGGGTATGTGTGAATGTGTGCCCAAAATTCTGAGAGGAGAATAAAGGAGAAAGGATTTCAGGAAGCGGGGGTCAATTTCTGACTTTCTGTCTCTTTCTCTCTCCAGCAAGTACACACACCCTATAGCAAAAATCTAAAGAAAATTACATACCTTCCCCTATTTTTTGAACTAGCATTACCCCTATACCCAAGATGAAGCCCAATTCCTGGAGTTTTGTTTAGATTTGGAACTGTTCAACTGATTAAAACATGTTTTATTTATACTTTGCATTTGAATTACAAAAGTGAAACACAAAGTTTGTTCCGATTTGGCCATAGCGGCACAGCAGTAACACAACACTCCACAGTGCTGAAGCCATATGGGAAGGTCTCAGGTTTGCATCCTGAGATCTTCCTGTACATGCTGGGTGCACACAGCATGCCCATAATCCTGGCCGGCTGAGGCAGCGGTTGGACTGGAGCATAAAGAACCTGTAGGGGGTGGGTCTCTATCTCGTGGAAGAAATTTTAAAAAGTTTCTATTTGGTTTGACATTACTCTCTCGTTTCCCTAAACCACCACTCAATGTATTCTGTGTGTGTGTGTGTGTGTGTGTGTGTGTGTACACATGCTAGAGGAAATGTATTCTGTGTGTGCGCGTGTGTGTGTGTACGCATGCTAGAGGAAATGTATTCTCGTGTAGTGGGTGTACACATGCTAGAGGAAATGTATTCTGTGTGTGCGCGTGTGTGTGTGTACGCATGCTAGAGGAAATGTGCACATGCTAGAGGAAATGTGCATGCTAGAGGAAATGAGACAGAGCAAGAGGAAGAAGAGAAGGGACCCTCTGTGAGAAATGGGTGGGAACCAGCAGTTAGCGTAATGGCTGTCGCTGGACTCCCACGTAGTCGACTGTGGTTCAAGTCCTGGACCCGGTGGCTTAAAACTCACGCCAGGTGCGTGTGCGTGCGTGCCCAAGATCCTGAGAGGAGAATGGAGGAGAAGGGATTGCGGCGTGACCATCCCCCCTGGGGGGTGATTTCTCGCTTTCTGTCTCTCTGTCTCTGTCTGTCTGGTGAGCGCACGCGCCTTATAGCGAAAACCTCTCAAAAAAAAAGAAATGGGTATGCCGCAATCCCTTCTCTTTGATCTTTCCCTTCTTTCAGGGTTTTGGGTACACATGCGTGCACACACACAAACGCACACACACACACCTGGCATGATTTTCAAGCCACCAAGTCCAGGACTCAAATCAGGGTTGGCCAAGTGGGATCCAACTGCCTTATCCACCAGGCCATGGAGCTAGCCCAAATGTACTCTTTTCAGAAGAATAATGGTTAGGCTGGCCTTGTAGTACAGCAGTGTGGAGGTAGCTGGATCCTACATGGTTGACTGCAGTTCGAATCCTGGCTTGGTGGCTTAAAAAACATGCTGGGTGTATGTGCACATAGGATCCTGATGAGAATGAGGAATAGAGGAAAGGGGATAAATGGATTGACTTATCACTGAGAGACACTTTTTCTCTGGCCTGTGAAGGCACCGCTCTGGCATTAATAAAGAAGAGGGCCAGTTCTGTGGCCTGGTAGTTAAGGCAGCTGGATTAAAAAGGGGCCTTCTTGGGCCTAGCAGATGGTGTAATGGTTACATCACTGGATTCCCATGCAGCCAACCACAGTCTGAGTCCCAGACCTGGTGACTTAAAACTCATTCTGGGCGAATGTGCTTGTGCACCCAAAATCCCTGAAGGAGAAGGGATTGTGTCATGGCCATCTCCCCTGGGGAGTGACTTCATTTTCTGTCTCTCTGCCCCTGGCAAGCACATGCACCCTATAGCAAAATCTCTAAGAAAAATAAGTAAAAAAAATAAAGGGCCTACTTGGCAGTTCAAGTCCTGGACCTGGTGACTTGAAAAATACATCAGGCACATGTGCATGCTTGCCCAAAATCCCAGCAGGAGGGAGAGATGGAGAAGGGATTGTAGTATGACCCCCAATGGGGAGTGCTTTCTCCCTCTTCTCTGTCTCTCTGGCAAGCATACAAAACCCTCTGGCAAAATTAAAAAGAATGGTGTATGGACCAGAGATCAGCAACCTTTCTTCATATTCTTTATCCGCTCCAGAAGATACAGAGGACTTTTTCCTCAGTTTAGGGTAAAATCTTAGGACAAGGATATGGAGCAGGACTAAGGGTCAAAGAGAAAAGGTCGGTTTATCAGTATGGGGCAAAGGTGAGAAGGACAAAGTTTGGGCTGGAAAGAGATATATAAATATTTGAAGATTTTATATGCTTCACTCTTTTTGTGCACATCCAGAGGCCTCCCTGAGAATGCCAGCCACCTGCCTGCTCATGACCCAGGCTGGCTGAAGCTGGAGGTAGATTGTGCCATCAAGACCCTGAATGAAGTGAGGCTGAATCTGTTTCTATGACTCTCATTCATGGAAGAAATAAATGAATAAAATTCAAAAAAGTTATTTTTAAGAGGTAAGCATTCTTTTCTTAAGAAAAAAAAAAGCTTTATTCGTTTTAATTTGACCAGAGAGGGACAGAGTGAGAAAGAGAGGGAAAGTGAGAAAACAAGCTGCCACGTCCAGTACTCAAACCACCGTCAGCTATGTGGGAGTATAGTGCCCTTAATACACCACCTGCTGGCTCTCGTCTCTGGGAATTTAGGTCAGCTCTAATATGGTTTTATGGATTTAAAAAATTTTTAAAATATTTATTTAATTACATTCCTTTTTTTTTTTTTAATTTGGCCAGAGAGAGAGAGAAAGGGAAAACGAGAAAACAGGACGCCAGGTCCAGGACTCAGACCGCAGTTGACCATGTGGGAGTCCAGTGCCCTTAACCACCATGCCACCTGCCAGCCCCCAGAAGATTTTTTAAAAAGAAACTTCCAGTGTCTATGGGTGATGAAATATGTAATCTATCAAATGTTTCACAGCTGTTCTGAAATGCTTTATGAAGAAAATTATTGAGGGATTTGTCCAGATTACTTCAGATACTCAATGTCCCTTAAGTGAAAAATCCTCTTTTCTAGGCCTGTCTTCAATAATGAGACACAGCAGATCGTTAGCAACATTGAAGACCACTTAGGGTAAATAGATGGTCTTCATTTCATTCCTGTGCTTTTTTAAATTATTATTTTTTTACATTCAGTCACTGTGTATCATTACAGTATACCAAACGAATTTTCCCATCATGAATACTCTGTGTATTGGTTCAGTCAAAGATACTGCCATAAACATTATAATCAACAGATTTATTTCCGCCTTGGGTCTCTTAAATGTTCTGCTTTGTTCTTCCCCTTGATTCCTTCCCTCCAGCCCTCTCCCGTTTCCTGCCCTCCTCCTGCACTGTCTCCAGTATCACCAATGCTCTCCATGGCTTTACACCTCCCAGTTCCTGTCCTTAAACACACACTTGGCCCTTCTCCACTTGGTGCCAGCCCCTATTTCTTACCCTATTCCCCTCTTTCTTTTCTCGAGTCATCAAATATCGTGCATTTAATATGTACTAGACAAGAGGCATTTTAACCTTTTCTTATTCAATTCCCCTGTACTTTCTAAATCTCCAACTTTTAGATAGCTTGCTAGTATAACTTTTTTTTTTTTTTTTTTAATTTACTATAGGGCTCATGCATTTGCAGGGAGGTGGGGAGAGAAAGTGAGAAAGCACCCCCTGGGGATATGGCCACCTGCAATTCCTTCCCCATTCTCCTCTTGGAGCTTTGGGCATACACGTATACACACCCAGCATGCTTTTAGGCATACACGTATAAACGCCCAGCATGTTTTTCAAGCCACCAGGACCAGAAGTCAAACTGCACAGTCAGCGGTGTAGGACCCAGCACCTTAACTACCACACCACCTGCTGGCCTGCACTAATTTAATTTTTAAACAAACAAAAAAAAGAAATAAAATGAGAGAAACATAAATCTTGAATCCTTCCTGACTCTGAGTTTCCCTGGCTCCTGTCATGACCTCAGAGTAATGTAGAAGGGACATTTAGAAAAAAGTAAAACACAGGGTCTCAGTATTGATGTGTATGTGGCAAGAGGGCAAGGTTTTAGCAATCGGTTCTAATGAGCAAATATTTGCAGAAGTTACGTCACTTACTGATCAAAGGGGAGAGCAAGTCCTCTTACTCCATGGGAAAGAGAACGGGGCAGCACAGGGCTAAGGAGCACCAGACCTGCTAAGGCAGCTTCGCTTCTCAGTGACTGGACCGTGTGGTAACCTGGAGCCCTGTAAGTGGGTGGAAAGAAAACAGGAACTTCCTAGTGATCTGAAAATGGGAGAGGCCAAGTGGGAACAATTGGGTTGCATTTTCTATTTCCTAGGTTTTACCTACAAAGAACGGCAGCTTAGAGGTAGGTGATGAGATTTCCCTGAGCCTTAGGCTCCTTTCGGACCACAGCCCTTCTAAATTTTTTTTTTTTAATCAAAGAGATTTTTTTGCTCTAAGGTACGTGTGCTCGCGAGAGAGACAGACATCAAGAAATCACCCCTGAGGGGGGATGGCCATGCTACAATCCCTTCTCTTCCATTCTCCTCTCAGGATTTTGGGCATGCACACACACACGCCCTGCATGAGTTTTAAGCTGCTGGGTCCCGGACTAGAACTGCAGTTGATTCTGTGGGAGTCTAGCGATGTAACCATTATGCCATCTGCTGGTCCCTATAAATGTGGTTTGTATGTTTTGGCTTCTACCCTTCCCAGGGTACTCTTCTCCAGGCATGCACGGCCTCCGACTCATCATGATACCAGTCGATCTACTTCTGTTTCTGTGCCACCTCCTGCTGCACCCTGCAGACGCCATTTCATATGGAGAGCAGGCAAATGTCTCTGTGCACCTTCCTTTATCCTTGGTGTCCCAGCCACCCTCCTCAGACCCCGAGTTCTGTAAGACACTGCTCCCAAAGTCCCTGCCTGGCTTTACCCACATGGCCCCTCTACCCAAGTTTCTGGTAGGCCTGGCTCTAAGGAATGCCCTGGAGGAAGCTGGCTGCCAAGCTGATGTCCAGGCCCTGCAGCTTCAGCTCTACCGCTGGGGTGGTGTGAATGCCACACAAGTCCTCATCCACCACCTTCAAGGGCTCCGGAAAGGCAGAAGCAAAGCGAGGGATGTGTCGGTGGAAGCCCTGGCCTCCTCTCTGCAACTTTTAGCCAGGGGACAACCAGGCCTGGAGAGGGCCCGACGCTCCCTCCCCACTGAGGACTGTGAGGATGAGCAGGAGCAGAATGTGCACAGTGTGGTTAGGCTACTACCTGGAGTAGGAACCTACTACAACCTGGGTACAGCTTTGTATTATGCTGCTAAGAACTGCTCAGACAGGGCCAAGGAACGAGGCCAGGATGGGGCCATTGATCTGGGTTATGACCTTCTGATGACCATGGCCGGGCTGGCGGGAGGGCCCACAGGTCTAGTGATAAGTGCTGCACTTAAGCCGGCATTAAAGGCTGGAGTTCAGCAGTTGATCCAGTATTATTACGATGAGAAAGAGGCAAACGTCGCCTAGCTGGAGGCCAGCAGAGAGGGCTTGGGGGCCACCTCAGTTGTGAGTGACCTGGAAGAAGCAAGTACCGTGGTATCTTTGGTATCAGAGACTGCAAGTTCAGCTCCCCACTGGAGTGGGCCTTATTCAAGAACTATAACCTAAATTCTTGGGCTGGGAGTTTTGGAAAATAAAAGATGGTAACCACAGAACGAATGAATCTAATATTCTGACAAGCTGTGTTCAAAATCCAAATCTCTGAATTATTATCCAGGAGGAAGGCAGTGCTGTAAAATAGGAATGTGAAAGTTTGGAGCATTCGAGGCACTCTCTCAGTACGCTCAGGCCCACTCCTACCTCTCAGGAATATACTTCTGCTTATACTTAATAAACTACCTTTTCCTTTCACAACTGGTTTGGTTCATTCAATTCTTTGTCCCAAACACCAAGCACCTGCATATCATCACAGAAACCATCCCACAACATATACTGTGGCAAGTCCAACCAGAGGTAAGTCCCTAACTGGGGGTCCCCTTCTTAACCTCTTCATTATTTTTTCTTCATTTCTGTTGAGTTTCTTGGCCAAAGCCAGTGTAATTGATAGCTCTTGGTATGGGCAATTTTCATATTGGACTAGAAACTGCCTCTGGACTGACCTATTAAGACCTTGAGCCCCTAGGGGTGAGAAACTCTCCTTTCTCTCTCTTCCTTTTCTTCTTACACTTTTATTTCCACTGGGTCTCCTGGCCAACCTGAGACAGCCAGAGTGGGATTGACATTCTTGGTATGGGCAAGGACATAAAGGACTGAAAGCTCCCCTGGCCTAACTCATCAAGACCTTAAGCTCTTAGGGGGCAGACCCTCCCTTTTTTTAAGACAGTTTTTTTTCTTTTTTGCAACAGGGTGTGTGTGCTTGACGGACAGAAACAGAGACAGAAATTGAGAAATCACTCCCCAGGGGAGATGGCAACAATCTCTTCTCCTCCAGTCTCCTCTTGGGATTTTCGGCACGCACGCACACAGGCCCAGTGTCTCTGGGTCTGGACTCAAACCACAGTGCCATGAGGGAGTCCATTAATGTAACCATTATGCCATCAGCTGGTCCCCAGAACTCTTTCTTTCTTTTTTTTTTTTTTTTTTTGAGTTTTTTTTTTTTTTTTTTTTTTTTTTTTTTTTTTGAGAGGTTTTTTTTTTTGTTCGTTTTTGTTTTTTTGCTATAGGGTGCGTGTGCTTGCCAGACAGAGAGAGACAGAGAGACAGAAGGCGAGAAATCACCCCCCAGAGGGGATGGCCTCGGCGCAATCCCTTCTCCATTCTCTTCTCGGTATCTTGGGCACGCACACACACGTGCCCAGCATCAGTTTTAAGCCACCGGGTCCGGGACGCGAACCGCGGTCAACTACATGGGAGTCCAGCGACATAGCCATTACACTAACTACTGGTCCCAAACCTCTTTCTTTTTTTTTTTTAACTTATTTTTTTAAATAATTGTCTTATTCAATTTTATTTATTTGTTTGTTTTAATTTGACCAGAGAGGGGGAGAGAGAGAGAAAGCAAGCCACCAGGTCCAGGCCTTGAACCAAGGTTGGCCATATGGGAGTCCAGCACCCTTAACCACCAGGCCACCTGCTGGCCCCAAGGTGGGGTGGGGGACAAGAAAGCAAGCCACCAGGTCCAGGACTCAAACGGCCATGGGCCATGTGGCTGTCCAGTGCCCTAACCACCATGCCACTTACTGGTCCCAGTGTTTTATTTTAAGATTTTTTTTTAATTTAACTTTACTTATTTATTTTAATTTGACTAGTGAGGGACAAAACAAGAGGCCGGAAGTGGGGTGTGTGTGGGAGGAGTGAGAAACAAGTCACCAGGTCTGGGATTAGAACTGTGGTTGGCCCTGTGGGAGTCTAGTGTCCTTAACAGTGTCCTCAACCACCATGCCACCCATACTTCTTTCTGTTCTGCTTCACTTATGGCCATCTTTGTAGCCACAGGTCAGTTAAAAGCTATTAGGGGGGACCAGCATTTAGTGTAATGGCTATGTCGCTGGACTCCCGCGTAGTCGACCGTGGTTCAAGTCCCGGACCTGGTGGCTTAAACTCACGCTGGGCGCGTGTGCGTGCGTGCCCAAGATCCCGAGACGAGAATGGAGGAGAAGGGATTGCGGCATGACCATCCCCCTTGGGGGGTGACTTCTCACTTTCTGTCTGTCTGTCTCTCTGTCTGTCTGGCGAGAGTACGCACCCTATAGCAAAAACCTCTCCAAAAAAAGAAAAAATAAAAAAGCTATTAGGGTGCCTGCTGCTTGAAGTCTCCTGTGTGAGGTTAACTGGGTCTTAGAACAAGTTGTTTAGGACTTGCTGGGCACAAGACAAATCCAAGCATCGGATAGATTTATGTGTGTGTATGGCCCAATATTTATTAGACAATACCTACCTTTTTCATTTTTTTAGAGAGAGATTTTTTTTTATATAGGGTGCATGTGCTGACCAGAGAGACAGAGACTGAGAGACAGTGAGAAATCACCCCCCAAGGGGGATGGCCATGCCGCAATCCCTTCTCTTCCCTTCTCCTCTTGGGATTTTAGGCATGTACTTACATGTGTCCAGCGTGTTTTAAGCTGCCAGCTTCAAGATTCAAGCTCCGGTAGACTACATGGGAGTCCAGCAATGTAACCATTACACCATCTGTTAGTCCCAAAAGACAGCTATATTTTTCTATGAGATTAGAATAATCAGTGGGCCCAGGCAATAATCAGCACATACAACCTATGTTTAAACAAATCGTAAACAGGGAACCAGCAGTTGGTGTAATGGCTATGTTGCTGGACTCCCACGTAGTCGACCGCGGTTCATGTCTTAAAACTCACGCCGGGCGCGTGTGCGTATGTGCCCAAGATCCCGAGAGGAGAATGGAGAAGGGATTGTGGCATGACCATCCCCCCTGGGGGGTGATTTCTCACTTTCTGTCTCTATGTCTCTCTCTGTCTGGCAAGCGCACACGCCCTATAGCAAAAACCTCTCAAAAAAAAAAAATCATAAACAGGGACCAGCAGTTGGCATAATGGCTATGTCGTTGTACTCCCATGTAGGTGGCGTCAAGGCACTGGACACTGCCACATGGCTGACAATGGTTCGAGTCCTCAACCTGGTGGCTTGCTTTCTCACTTTCCCTCTCTCTCTCTCTGGTCACATTAAAATAAATGAATGAATAAGTAAAAAATAAATAATTCTTTAAAAATGAAAAAGTTCATATAAACACAATTTGGAAAACTGAAATATTTACCATTGTAATATGAATTCAGGCGGCCAGCAGTTGGCATAATGGCTGTCGCTGGACTCCCATGTAGTCGACCGCAGTTGAGTCCTGGACTCGGCGGCTTAAACTCACACCAGGCACGTGTGCATGCATACCCAAGATGCCAGGAGGAGAATGAAGGAGAAGGGATTGTGGTGTGGCCATCCTCTGGGGGGTGATTTCTCCCTTTCTGTCTCTCTGTCTGTCTCTGTCTTTCTGGCAAGCACACGTGCCCTATGGCAAAAACCTCTCCAAAAAAAAAAAAAATCAGATATATTTTAATATGAATTCAGATACTCTGTATGCTTGCTTCTAACTGATGGTCAAATAGCAGAAGCCCAGAGTTTTGCCATAAGTGTTCTTATCACACCACTCCAGCTGTCCTTGAGTCCAATCGCTCAAAATACGCAAACACAAGTAAAGAGATACAAACAGGTCTTTGTAAAGTAAACTAATATTTTATGGTTTAGATAACTGTTTCTCTTTGGAACTTTTTATATCGTTTACTTCTTTTCTGAAATTGAGATATTCCTTATCATTAGGCAATAATCTCTATAAGGCAAATAACTTATCTCTGAAAACTCAAGGGATTTTTGATAAAAATAGTTTTCTTAGGTTCAGCAAGTGGCATGGTGGTTAAGACACTGGGTTCTCGATTCCAGTCCCAGACCTGGCAGCTTGGTTTCTCACTTTGCCTCTCTCTCTTTCTGTGGTCAAAAAAAAAAAAATTTTTTGTTTTTTAGAGGATTTTGCTATAGGGCATGTGCACTCGCCAGAAAGAGAGAGAGAGAGAGACAGCAAGAAATCACCCCCCAGGGGGGATGACCACACCACAATCCCTCCTCGCCCATTCTCCTCTCAGGATCTCGGGCATGCACGCACACGCGCCCAGCATGGGTTTAAGCCACCGGGTCTGGGACTCAAACCGCAGTCAACTACATGGGAGTCCAGTGACATAGCCATTATACCAACTGCTGGTCCCATCTCTGGTCAAATTTTTAAAAAAAGTTGATGAATAAATTTTTAAAAATTCTTTATAAAAAATTCTTATTTGTTATTACTATTTTTTTTTTAATTTGATCAGAGAGAGACAGAGACGGAGAAAGGGAAAGTGGGAAAGCAAGTCACCAGGTCTGGGACCTCAACCACAGTGGATCATGTGGGAATCCAGCGCCATAACCACCATGCCACCTGTTGGCCCCAAATCAAAAATAATTCTAAAAAGCAAGTATTTGAGGGTCAGCAAGTGACATAGTGGTTAAGGTGTTGGACTCCCATGTGGTCTACTGTGGTTCAAGCCCCAGACCTGGAGGCTGAAATTCATGCCTGCCAGGTGCTTATCTGTGTGTGCCCAAAATCCTAAGAAGAGAATGGAGAAGAGTTTAGGGTGGTCATCCCCTCCTGGGGTGATTTCTCACTTTCTGTCTCTCTCTTTGGCAAGTGCATGTGCCCTATAGCAATAAAGTCTCTCACAAAACAAAAACAATCTCTATAAAGAAAATAACTTACCTCTTTGAAAACTAAAGTAATTTTTTAAAAGAATTATTTATTATGTTTCATTTATTATTATTATTATTTTTAGTTTGACCAGAAAGAGACACAAAAGAGAGGGAAAGTGAGAAAGAAGTCCAGGTCTGGGACTTGAACCGCAGTAGACCATGTGGGAGTCCAGGGCAGTGACCATTACACTACTTGCTGGCCCTCACAATGAGAGGTTTAACAATTTAATTTCTCTACATATGACGGTTTGATATACTGTATCAAATATAAACAATAATACAGTAAGAAAATTAATTGGTGGAAATAATTATTCAACAAGTTAGTAATAAGATCACCAATTTTGGGACCAGTGGGTGGCGTGGTGGTTAAGGCGCTGGACACTCCCACATGGCCGACCATGGTTCAAGTCCTGTCTAGTTTTTATGTAATATTCTTTTTTTTTTTGAAACCAAATATACGTTTATTTTTAGCTGTATTCTATTCAGTTAATAAATGCATGTGTTTCTTTTTTTTTTTATTTTTTTTATTACATTGGATTACATATAACTTTACATTGACTTCCATTGCTTTTTCAAAAGGGAATGCCATGCATGTCAGTCAATACAGAGGCATCGATCTCCCCGCTTTATCATTCAAAGTCTTTTCCATGCATTTCCCAATAATTATTATTATTATAATTTTTTAAAACAGTCAATCACTATTTCTCATTTTGCTTGTTAAAAGACTTCACCCATCATGAAATACTTCCCAGACCAGTCCAGTTGAGAATACTATACACGTCATCTTCAACAGATAATAAACCATATCTGTTTCTCACTAACATCCCCTCTATTGTTCACTTGCTATCTTTCTCTATCCTCTTCTTTTTCTCACGAACATCCTCTCTATTGTTCACTTGCTATCTTTCTCTATCCTCTTCTCTCTTCTTTTTTTTTTTATAGTTTATTTTTTATTATAATTTTTTTTTCCCATCGCAACCACAAATGAGTTTTCCATCCAAAATACACTGTGCATTGGCTCAATCAAGCACGTCACCATATATGTTCTCAGCAAATAGTTTCCCAATTCTTGTGTCCTGCATACCTTGCCTTTTGTTTTACCATCCTAGATTCCCCATCCCCCTCCCTCTGTTATGACCCATCCTCCTCCCACATTGTCCCTGTCATCCCCGATTGCCCTCCGTGCCTCACCCAACCCCTAAGACTATCTGTAAACTCAAAACCTAACCCTAACCCTATCACTATCCTTAAACTCTAACCCTAAACCTAACACTATCCCTTAATCATAACCCTAACCCTAACCCTAGCACTATCCTTAAACTCTAACCCTATCCCTAACACTATCCCTAAACTCAAACCCTAA